GTTCATTTTGACAACTGATTTTACAAAATTCGGACCCGAGAAATTAGTTCAATTTTTGAGATTTTTCGGCTTGAAACCTTTCTTTTAGAATGATATTTCGGAAAAAATTGGCTTTTATTCGATTGCTTTGAAAATTGGTATTTGGGGGTTTTTTGGTACGAGAAAACTGAAAATGACATTTATTCTATGATAAAATCAGGTCTCAACACACTTAGCGTTAGAATTTCGTCATAAATTACTAAAAAAAATATTGATATAAGTACAAAACACTTCGTTCGAAGTTCTCACTGTGACGCAATATTGTAAATCTGGAAATGTTCTGATATAAATTTTCAGTGACGCGTTCGTTCATATACGCATACAAAATGTTAATATTGCGTCGCCCCAAAAATTCTAACCCAAAGTGATAGACATGTCTAATCTAGTGTCTAATACTTAGAACAGAAAATATACGAAAATCTGAACACGCTTAACAGCACAATATTCGATCTATAAACGATTGTTTCAGTGTTTCTTAATGTTTTATGCGCCTATGAAATAGCAGCCGCTTTATGCATAGCTCGAGCCTAATGTTGGATTTATTTTCACATATTTTTTGTGGTGAAAGAGGCGACGCAATATTAACATTTTGTATGCGTATATGAACGAACGCGTCACTGAAAATTTATATCAGAACATTTCCAGATTATTGCGTCACAGTGAGAACTTCGAACGAAGTGTATAGATAAATATACCAGCACGCTTCATGGCTGAGCAATTGTTCGATGTGACCACCACCATTTTCGACAGTAAGTTGCAAACGATTCTTAACTTCCTCCGTACAAGCCCTTAACATTTGTTCTGCAGGTATCCCAGCACATTCTTGCCGAATTCGCTCTTTCATTGCCACATAAATTCTATCTTTGAGGTAACCCCGAAGATAAAAATCAAGTGGGGTCCATCTTGATGGAATATAAATTTATTTACGTAGTTTGTCTAGAGTAATTAAGGAATATCAATTTATTTCGATTGATATAAGGGGCTGAACGTACATTCAGGGGGTAATCTCGCCCCCATCCCCTGTCTTCCCAGCTATGGTTTGTACGCAACATCGAGCGCTGGGATTCTCCACTCGATGCCCGATTACCTTTAAAGTTGTTGTCACACATGCTTTAAAGGCACTGAAGAAAATACATGGCATTGAAAAAATGCGAGAAAATCGACGTTAATCGCCGCTGTGCTATTTTGAATGTCATTTTCATCGGTTAAGGCTTGTCAAAATGTATGCAAATTTTATTGTTGAGTTCGGACCGTTGGAAAGGTATTGACGAGGAATGTGTGCATCACATGATTTTTACATATAAAATGCTTGTAAAACGTCATATTGTTGATGTTTTTTTTATTCAATTATATTTTTTCTATTTTTTATTAATTAAATTTTTTATTTAATTATATTTTATTTTTTTATTTAAATATTTTTATGGTTTTATTTTTATTTTTATTTAATTATTGGGAGCACAATTTAGTTTTTACGGATTTCCGAAAGATGGCATTCCTAGTGTTGTATGCATCGGGCAACACCGTGGCTAACATCATTTTTTCTGTCTTTCAAAATGCGATAAATTTCAGTATATGTCATTGCGTTGAAGTGTAAACAACACAGATTTTCACTACATTGAAAATGTCTGAGTTCACCCCAAAAAAACATGATTTGTGAAGAAAAATTACAAAAAACCTGTAGAAATATCCAATTATATAAATTTCTAAAAAAGTGAGCTTTTCCACTTTTGCAAAAACATTGTTTTTGGTTTAAAAAATAAACCAATAAAAACTCTTTATACCCCGCTGTACCCTCTTTCTGAATACCACATACTTCAGTGGATGCAGTCCACCATTTTTGATCACCACTGTGAAAACTTTGAAAAAGTCGAAAAATGACTCGGTCATTAGATACCTGGAAAAGACTAACAGTTCTTTCGATGCGGAATCCGTATGTTACCAGAAAGATGGGAAAAAGTAGTGGCTAGAGATGGACAATACTTTGAATAATATAACTTGTACCATTTTTGCACAATAAAGGTTCAATTTCAGAAAAAAATCCGTAAAAACTAAATTGTACTCCCAATAAATTTTTTTAGTTTTTTTTTTTTTAATTAAATATATTTTTTATTTAGTTTTTATTTTTTTAATTATTTTTATTCAATTTTAATTTTTTTTAAAATTATTTTGCTACAATTTTGATATTTTTAACGATTCGGGCCACACGATAAGAGATACGATATCGATGTGTGGTGTCAAAGTTGTAGTTTTTGACATGGCCTATAATTTGGCGCCACGGTCAGAAGCCATGAAAACGAAACAGGGCGCGTATCGCAGATTTCTTCGGTCAGTGCTAAACAATTAATAAATTAAATTAAACAATTTTAAATGAATTGGTCGAATTTCGACCACGGGCGTCCCTAGTTAATTATTTATATACGTACCTTTTTGTTATTGTTGTAATAACAAAAATTGATGATGAGCACTATATGAGTGCGACTATGATGTCAAAGCGATGTGCAACCAATGACCGACTATGATAAACTAACAACAACGACATAGTTCGCGTCAAAAAGTCGTCTTCAAAAAAGTTAATTGTCCCGAAAAGTGAAGTGAATTTCGGTAACTTCAAAAATTGTGAATATTTTTTGGCAAAATTATCTCAGCGATGTTTTCTATATATATAGAATACGGTCTGAATTTCACACTATCGTATATATATATTTAAAAAAAAAAATGAATACAGAGATGTAGTTATGATACATCGGAGACTTAAATCTGTAATAAATAGCTAGAGTGTTCGAGATAACCGTACGTAGAAGGGCAATATATTGTATGCATTGTTCAGGTGTTTTCTCGTGTACGCAATGCGCATACTTTTTTATTTCATATGTTTTACACATTGAATTCCGTTAATTTGAACGCGTAATTTAACCGCAAAAAAAGTTGCTGTGGTAATAATGGTCCAAATGTGTTCCCAATACATTGCATCAATTCAATTCACTTCGTGGAAATATGAAATGCAATATGAAATAATATTTATCAGCTTTTATCTTATTTCCTATTGTCAAAATTGTTTTATTACGTTTGCAGATCGTTTTTATATGCTTAGTTGAAAGTCGAAGCCAAACAAAATATGACGAAATTGATTTCAATACAATACGATGAGGGGATTAAATCTAATGCTCATTAAATTATGCCCAGAAAAATCCATTCCCCTAACAATGAATCAAATTATCAATAGTTTTACCAAATGTAATGTGCAATTTTATTGGTCGCAAATGATTCGATTTGTTTTATAAAACCAAATTAAATAGGTCATATTTAGAAATCATTCTGTTCAATTTCATTCATTTGGAACGGAATACAATATTGTGACCATCATTCGCATTAATTTATTCGACATTCGTTTAATGTGATTATTAACAGTGGCTGGTTGAAAGTGGGGGCAATGGGATGCATTACTCCATCAACATTTCATGTTCAGCAGTTCGGTTAAACATTTTACCATGCCACATCATATGAATAGCGTGCACTGAGTTACACACGAATGAACAAATAAAATCCAACACCAAAACCAGTTTAATTGAACGACACATCAAATTCGTACTAGGTTGAGATTGAAACTACGACAGCATCATTTCGATTTGCGAAGAAAGAAGAAAAACCCGAATCAATTGGCACGAATAAGTAAAGAATATTTGTTTTTGCTGTGCAATCATCGTGAAAATTCTTTGGTGTGTCCAATGGAAGATCTTGTATTAATTTATCGAATAATAAACGAAAAAATTGGAAAAATGGTCAATGAACGCGACCAGAAATGCGCGGATATAAATGCTGTATTTATAGTCGCATTAGGACCATTTGATATATCATTGTGTGTGCCGAAAACAATTCATTACGGCAAAAATAATAAGTTCAAAACCAAAATGTTGGGAATATTGTGTGCACGCACAAAAGCATTCGGCGAATAAAAAGATAAATGAAACGAAATTGATTTGGTCATTCGTCTGGATCAAAATGTTGCGCAGAAGTTGTGCTTTATGAAAAATGGAAAAAAATAGTGAATGTTCTTAAACCGGCATATGGACAACAAATGCGAAAAATATGCGTTGTGTCTATTAAATCTCCCGAAGATGTATCATTATTTTCTCTTTGGTATTTCTGGATTTGCCGAGCACCATTGCTTAATAAATTGACTGCTCACTGACCAGTCGTACGGGAGGCCGAGTTGATTCGCAATCACAATTTGACCATTACAAATGTATTGCAAGTGTCTGACAACAATCAGCTCCATAAAATACACACCGTAGTATGGCATTTGCAAATGGAAAATAAAAATGCGAACGCATATTCGTTACAGAAACAAATGTTCAAATGTTATTTATTGTTTGGTTGTCAAACGAAAAATCTTTTGGCATTGCCACCGACCAGCGTCAATCGATAAATGCGTGGAGTCGACCATGAACCTGTAAACCGTGTGTTTGCTCAAAATGAAAGCCATAAAATCAACACATGCACGCACGCTCAATCAAATAATACACAGCTGAGAATGGAATTATATGAAGTTGAGCCTTTTTGCCAAACTACTACCAATGGTAGTTAATCAAAAGCTATATAACATGGCTCAAATATAACATCTCGCCAATTAATTACATATGGTTCATTTTAATGCGAGTGGCGAAGTAAATTTCCTATTTATGCATAACGGTATTTGCTCCACATTCGAAGAAGCAACGGAATGTCAGATTTTGGCATGCTTAACAGCTTAACGTGAACTTTACCATAAGATCCATGTCTTCCAATGGATCCGCAACGAAGGTGCAAGGGGTTCCGCAACATCTTAAGCATTCGATTTCGACGTTCACCGCATTCGTAGTGCTTAAAAAGATACAAGTGTAGCGTAAGAATATTCTTTCAAATAATAACAATAATAATGTGCGTTGATGTGGTAATTAAATAGCAAAGTTAAAGATTAAATATGCGGAAATTTTCTTTTAATAATTCATGGGATTTCATTTTCTTATTCTTTACTCATGCAGCACGTGCACTCTCACGATTCTTTCTTGTACATTTTTCGTCCGTCGTTGTTCTCGTCTCCCCTGCAGGTAGATAATAAATCTTCGGTTTTATTTGCCGTAATTTATACTGATTGCTCTGTTTGCTGACTTTAATAATAAAGTGCACAAGATTCTCCACTGATATGCTGTCTGCCATTCGAAATCTCTTTAATTAGTTCGTCTTTTTCACTTAAGCTAATATGGAAAACTAGCAAAAAAAAAAAAAAAAAAACTGTTAAGAGTAAAAAAAAACAATGCACTTGCTGCAAAAACAACAATGCAAAAATCTCGAGACTTTTTAAAAAAAAGTGTGCTCCGTTTAATTCATTTGGCTAAAGTTTAAAAGCTATTCGCAGAGGAGTTGAGTGAAATGCATGACACGCTTTTGCCGGAAATGTGATATGTTACCCAGAAAATATGTCACATAAATGGAGTTTTTATTTAATTAATTAACGACGAATTAATTCCGTTTCTTTCTTTTTTTAATCAGTGACAATTTTACGGCTTTGAACACGAATGAGCGACAAGTGCAGCCAGAAGATAGAGAACGACAACAATGACTGTGGTAACGGTGTAAGGAAATGAATCGCATTCCATTTAAATGAAATCAACACTTTTAACGTTCAGGAACTTTATAATGACGGTGCCGAGTGTTGAAACACAACAATGTCAATTATTATTTAAAACGTATTGTCAGAACATCCACTATACACGATACACGTACACCATTCATACCGTTCTCATTCGAATCTCAATGTAAATAGACTTTATTTGTGCTTGCTGATTATACGTTAAATTAATATTAATGTTGACGATAATTAATACTTCGTTACGTAATTATTGTTCAAGTCTTGTGCATTCACATACAAAATACAATTCGTATATATCATCACATGTAGGCGTAAAATGCTGTGTCTTCGATTTTGTCTTTTATATTGAAAAAAATGTCGGTTAATTGTTTTAGGTGGAAAATTATTTCAAAGTTCCAAATGTTTTACTAGATTACCTTGGAAGCGCTTATTAACTAGAGTGTATTTGCCTGAGTATAAGTGCACAGTTCGAATCAGAGATTGCATCGGGACGTAAAAAGAGGTTGTCAATATTACACACACACCAGTAATCACACTAGCAAATACATAAGAGTGCCACTCATCAAGCGTGTTCTTCGGTAAAATATAAACGCCGAAATAAACCTTTATTTGATAAAATTTATGAATTGTATTTTATGTGTGTGCGTATCAGCGAGAGAACATGAGCGAAAGATAGCATAGCATACTCATTACAAAATCTATATAAATATGAGCTCATTTTTCGTTTCATTCCTAGAGAAATGGCATCAATTTAATATTATGTCACTTTAAAGATAAGATAGTTGACGAACGCATTTTCATTGGCAATGATTCGATTGTATCGTTTGAATACTCTTGATTATTCTGAAAATGTTCTCACATGCATTCTTTCTTTTTCCAAATTTGATTCCAAAACAGCTTTATTCCAAAAATCCAAAACAGATATTAATTTCAAATGGAGTAGAAACCTTGGCCTTTTGAATATTAGTGTCAACACACATTGTTTAGACGTGAAAGTCAACATCACACTGTATTACATTTCATTGCTACGGCATTGATAATATATTGAAAAATGATGAAAAATGATCTTATATTCGTCGTTGAAAAAACACCATTTATATAAAGAGAGAAAGAGAGCACGATTCAATAACATTCCGACAGTTGAAGCTTCTGTATGGTATTAAATGAGGAAAAAAACCAGTAAATGCAATAAAGTAAAATAAAAATGAGCACGTTCGTTGCAATTCCAATATTCACTTCATTAGAAATGTTGACTTGTATTTATTAAAGAAGAAAATGGCATCGCTGAACGTTAGCAACATGATCAGGATGAAGAAAAATTATCAAAGCGGAGACATTTTTAGTTATTAATTTATAAGAATGACTGGCGAAATCAAGCGTCTTTTCATGAGACGAATCTCGATTGAATTTCCTTGCGCGTCTTACACTCACCCTTTCTATATCCATATTTCATTCTGAGTTGCCTTGATTGAAGCTCTTTGTTTGGAGATTGGTTTGCCCTTTTTACCAAAATGATTCATTCCACGTCATTGCACAGCCGGGTAAATAACAATAGCCGAACATCTTTCAGGCATAACTCTCTCTTCCTCCTTCTCTCTCTCTCTCTCTCTCTCTCTCTCTCTCTCTCTCTCTTTCTCAACATATATGAACAATTCCTTATTAATTTACGGCGAATGTCGAAGCATATATAAAGGTTTGACAAATCAAATCAAATGGATGAAATGGCGAATAAAGAAAGGTATTCATTCATTCATTGAATAGTCTTTTAAAATAAGCACAGCTTACAATAACAAGACGCTTAAATTAAGACAAAACAGAGCAGACATTGTGCTCTTATTTTGTTGCGTCTACGGCGACGGCCATCAAGACAAAAAAATCCAAGAAAAATATCAAGTATAGTGGTTAAATTTAACAAATAAATAAATACACAAGAAACGACAACGACAATGGTTGTGAGTGTGTAGGCGAGATGATTGTTGTCAATCATTTCATCGGGACAAATGATTCGGGTCATTGAAGCAAAATCGAAAAATCACATTTCAAAGGGATTATTCCGTAACACATACAAAAGGCAAAACACAAGTAAATTATCAACAATGAAATTGTTATCATTTTCAAGTGGAAAATGTATCGAAATAAATACATTTCATTGTTCTTAAGACGCTTAATTTCTCATGTCAATTTTTCAAAAATATGATGGAAAATAAAATTGATGAAAATTGATTGTAAACCCCATCGTCTACAATACATTATCCGGTTTTATAAACAACCATTATTCGATTGTCTGTGACTTTTAAGTAATCTCATTATCAAAAAATTGCTCTTTTGCGTTGGAGAGCATGATAAAGAGACAAGCTCTAGCATTGTCAAAACCTGATTAATACTAGCGAAGAAAATCTCAAGAGATCACACAAAATTCGCTTACTTATTGCTCGTCACGTGTAGTTTTGAATTTGAACTAGATCAACAATGCGTGTTCATTACCATAAACAGACTCAATATTACATTCACAATGCGTGTTGGTTTTTAACGATGAATGGAAAATCCAAACATAATCAACTACCCCGATGGCCAACGCAAAATTCTATTGAGGATGGTCATTTCTGCTCGGTTCGCTGCACAGTCATTGCGTCACGAATTCGTGTTGGTGGCTTTTATATTGAACTTTTCTGTTGGATATAATCGCATTAGTCACGTAGATTTGTTTCACTTGATCAAAACCATCTCAGAATTACAGTACAAACAAATACTTGGGGGAGAAAAAAAAAACAATTTGTGAAACAACTTCAGGTGCTCTCAACAACTTTCAACATTCATTTTAATGAACGATGCAATACGCTGACGACAATTTTCTGTGAAACCACCAATCACTTGCCCATTGAAATTGTTTATTATTTTCTATTTCTTCTTTTTCACATTTTGTCCCCCCCGTTGAAATCGTCAACGAATTACGAAATTCTCATATAACTTTTTCTTAAGCGCGCAACGGAAAAAATGTCAAACGAAAAAAAAAACTAAAAATAATTCGTCGAAAGAACGCTTGTGGGTTGAGATTTCAAAAGGCAAAAAAGTGTACAAGAAAAGAGTTTTCATTGATGGAAAAAGTAGCAATAGAGTACAATTTTAAATGAATTTTGTGTGTATGACCGCGCAAAGTAGTAGAGTTCAGAAAAAGTGAAAATATACATAGAAATTGAGTCGAGAAAATTCAAGAAGTTCATGGCATTTTATGAGTGTTTTTTTAATCTCAAAAATAAGAAGAAAGAAATGATGACAGAATGGTCAAAAAATACAGAAGTGCACGTGGTTATGGAAAGAGAAAAATATCCATGAATTCAAATGGATTTTTCTCTCCTTGTTATTTTCATTCTTAACGCGAGCGCGCCAAAAGAATTGCACATCTCTGCAAATAAACCTTGAATGTTGCCAATTCAAAACTGTTTTCACCGTATAGTACTTCTTTCTTTCAAAAAAATACGTTAAATAACCGTCGTCTCTTAATCTCATCGCTTATTATTCGTATTTCACTCGATCAGACAGTGTTGATGGCATTTTTTTGCGTGTCGCTTTTTTCATGATCAGTTTTCTTTTTATTGTACAAGCTAACCACTTTTATTTTCCACATTTATATCTTATTCGATATTATTCGGTGCTTCAACAATGATAATTTTTTCGAATTGCGAATGGAAGAAAAAAAGTCACAAATAAATGAGATAAAATCCGACGAAAGTTTTTTTTACATCTTCTTATTTGATGCTTCTTTCCGCACTCTTTTTTTATTCTTTATTAATAATTTTATTAAAATGAATATTATGTTTTCTCTTTTGCAGACATTTTTTTTGTCGTTTTTCTTCTCTCATTTGTTTGTGCTTGTGTTCACGGCTAACGAACGCAAATGAAATGCCATTTATGGTTTATGGATAAATTTGGCGCATAAAGTGATGGAAACAAGAGTTGAAAATATTCTTTATTTCGTTCGTTCTTTTTCCTTGCAAAATTGAATGGGGAAAATGTTCTTGTGCATAAGAAAAACCATAAACGAGAAAGAGACACAATACAAAGAACGAGAGGAAGATAGAAAATGGAGGAGTAAGAAGAGAGAGAGAATACGATGTAAAAGCGCATTTACGAAAAAACTTGATATTTTTGAAGCCAAAACTTATGTTCGACTGCCTTCAGGGTTGATTGCATCGTACACGATGAGCGACGCATCACTGAAGTGAGTGAAAGGGAGAGAGGGATGGAGAGCAAGAGCATTGAGTGCATTAAGCGACAACAGAGAACAACGACAGCTTGACGAAAAATTCACTAGTAGCAGCCGCGATTGATTAAGAATAACCATTTGGTTGATGGTAAATTGTGAACACACCAAAAATGGAAGTTTGTGTTGCTTCAAAGGCAAGGAAGAGTGCAAAATTATGTTCCATTTCATCATTACCCATCGTCATCATCATCAACATCATTAACGGCATCACCGAATATTTTGCAGTTAACTCCCAGGCATACACGCGCGCAATCGAAATCACAAAACTTTTGCATTACATATTTTTGTTTGTTATATAAATACGTGTGCCAACAAAAGAAAATATGAACACGCGGAGCTTACAAACTTTTACGTCAGCTAAGTAGAAATGCTCGTAAGATGGCTGAGTGCATCGAGCATGAGTAATGCGAATGTTTACTTGCAGTGTTTGCCTTTGATGCATTTCATTATAACATTTTCTTTGTATATATTACGTTCGATAGACATTTCATTGGAATTGATTTTTTTTGGGGGCGATTCGTTGTCAATGTGCCAAAGGATTTGTTGCGTGTTCTTCGTATGAAGAGTATACAATTAATTTTATTACCATTCAATAGATGGCGATACCAACAACTCTAAACTCATGAGATCGTTCGAAAAACGTATTGTACATTTTTTATTTAAAAAAAATGCAAGAAGATTCAATTTTAA